AGTAAAAAGTGGAGAAAATATAATTATGCTAAGAACTACCGTGCGTTCCTTAACTCATAAAATAATTTCTGGCCCTACAGGGCTGTTGATTTGCACTTTTTTACGTTATAATAAATAAAAAAGGCTATTTGTTTAAACTGTAAGCATTTAAAACTGACAAAAAATATACAACTGAAAAATTGTTGGTTCTAATAGAAATCTGATCCCTCACGTACTAGAGTCTTCATATGTTAAATTTTTAGGCTAATGTTTCAAACTCGATAAATGTTCTGCATCAGTTTCTTGACGCTGAATATTTTAAACAATTTAAGCATTTAAAGTTTTCCATCCAATTCAATTTCTTGTGACCAAAAGCATGGTTAAAACTTTTATGAGCCCTGAATTCTGCTTTTTTTCAACTTTGTTAGGTTGTAATATATTTGTTGGCAACGTAGTTCGATATCTAATGGCTCTAAAAAGGATCGGTAAGCTAAACTCTTTCTTGGCGAAAGTTACCAGCAAACGTGACTGCCTGGATTCCTCAGGATGATCTTCTCTGGCCTGCTGTTGTAGCACCAGACTGATTGTGAGGGAAACACTAATGTCTGAAGCGTAAGACCTAGTTGTAGAGCTCTTTACCAACGTCTTCTGTTACGCTGGATACGTTAACGTCTAAAGCACTTTCTTTTTTTTTAGAGTTCAGTTATATTGGTAATCTAAGGTGGAAAAGTTGGTTCGTGTTGCTTGCCCGTTAGGGACTGTCCCGTTTGCTTAAGTTTATTTTTTCTGTACAGCTGTTAATTTCGCCCAGCGCAGACCTCGGAGAGCATAGGTAATTCCTGGTTGAATACTTATACAATCAAGAGAGTGATGAAATGTAGTGAGTCATCTGTTACCGGAGTTTCCAGTCTTGCGACGAACCAATCCGCTCTTGACGTCTGCCAGTGTATGACTGACTTGGTTTAATACTGGCAAACTTTACACTGTCGTTTAGTCGACGAATTTTGCCGGAAATAGAAGTAAACATGTATTTGCTGGGAAGGTAGTTTAACGACAGGTGGCCCTAAAAAGAACATAAGATTAATGGCTAAGTAAGGAACATAAATACTTATAATGACCCTGCAAAGCACCAGTAGGAATACTTCTAGCCATTCCTTATTATTCTTATTATTATTCTTCATAATGGAGAGCTAGCTGCGGGTAGCTTGACTCTAACCCTTGAAGTCTTTGCGTAAGGAAACCGTGCTGGAGGGAGACAGGCCACTGACCAAAAAATATCTCGTCTTCGGATCGTTCCCTGGGTTACCAACCGCTCATCGGTAATTGGGAAAGTGGGCCCGGAGAATACGTTTTCTGTGGACATGCCACTTCTACAAATCACTAGTGAGGCCGTTGTGTCTGCTCGAACCCAGGGTTAATCTCCTTGGCTTGTTGTTGTAATATATTTTGCTCTGGTAGCAGCATCAACATAATTGTACTCTTCAACACAACATACAACTTTTTGAGTTGGAAGCTAAATCTTGTAAATCGTTTAGCTTACCGATTCCTGTAGATATTCAATCAGAGGAAAATGATAATCTTACAGATATTGCATTTCGCAAAGAAATATTTGAATGTATTTACGATAGGTTAAATCCAGGTAAAATAAAATTTTGAAAACAATATGTGACGGAAAAAATAGAATTATCGTTATCTATGGTCCTGTTGGTTCAGAAAAAACATTGCTATACAAAACCTCAATAAACAGCTTTAATTTTCTTGTTAAATAAATTTTATTGATGGCATGGACTCGTGTTTCCTCAATACTTATTTCTAAAGGAATGACTAGTCACAGAACTTTTTACCCTTGAGAGTTAAAAAATGGTAACAAATAAAAACTGGAAAAAAAAAAGAATAAGTCGATCAAGAATTTGGGATGATGCTTTACTGATACCAAACATAGCATTAAAAATGGTCAACAGACTTTTGCGTGATAAATGTTGTACAGACATATATTTTGAATACAAATGAATAATTTTAGAAATGATTTCCATTAAATTCTGACAACTTTGAAAAAGTAATAAAAGTATGATTGCATCCAAAAGTATTGAATCATCGTTTTTTGGTTATATTTTAAAACAATAAAATAGGGTATTTATATTTGCAGTAATAACCCAGAATTACTATAAATATTGCTAGAAATCAGCGAAGAAAGAATTAAATCATTAAAGATAGATGAAACATGCAAAACGAATAATGTATGCTTGACAACATTTTTTAAATATATAAAATGTTTAAAATATAATGTTACTCTCACTTTATAATGAATACCTTCAATGTTTAAACAACAAAGTTCCTAATTATTAACGAGTGAGATTCCAAGTATACTTCAATTAATTTAATACTCAAACACATCACCAAACTAAAGCTATTGTTCATTTAAATTCTCGCGCCGATAAATTCCTACCAGCGCCATCTATAACATAGTAACAATAAGTGGAACCATACTTTCACCAGCGGCCGAGCCGCTTAAGTCAAGCCACAGCCGTAGATTTGGGTATAAAAAGCCCAGACGGGACATGAACCGATCACTCTGCTTTTTCCTTACGCAGCGGGTCTGACCCTTTACACATGAGCGTGGCTCTTGAAAGCGTCGTATACATAAATACTGTTCAATTTTCAACATACCTTTGCTCTAAAAACTTGTATTATTCTTTATTCATTCTTGGTTTTGACAAAAAGTAGCAACAGGTGAGATGGCGATGAGGTTAGTGCAGTCTCTTAGATTTCCCTCCCCATTGCTCACATTTTTGGATCACTCGGGTAAGGAGCTGACCCTGGGGGCATTGCGAACTGGGGTAAATCCTTTAGATAGAAAATCGGTGGATATATGGATTTTCGGGGCAATACGAACTGAAGCTATCCCGAGACATCAAGGAACTATCATGCTTGGTAGTTTTTAAAGACAGTTAAATCTTATATTTTTCATTAAGAGGCAAAAATTACACCCAAGATGTCATGTACTATCTGTTAGGGGCAATACGATCTTGACTGTATACCTACATACTCTCAGTAAAGTATCTCGTGCTACGAGTTAAGAGCATTAAGAATCTAGCTTCGTACTCACGAGTTCCTTGCTTGACTTCTTTGGTCCTTATAAAGGTGCCTCCATACTAACCTTTGAATGAGTATGATTTATCATGTTACCTGACTTTTTACATGTATTAATAATTAAGAAAAATTTAAGCCTTACATAAAAGTTGCTTTTAACGTGGAGGTCAAATATTTGTTAATTATTATAATACAGAAAGTGGTTGATGACATGATAAATTATACTTATACAAGGGTCAGTATGGAGGCATATTTATAAGAAACAAAGGAGTCAAGCAAGGAACTCGTGGGTACGAAGCTGGATTCGCAATGCCCTAACCTGTAGCACGAGATACCTTACTGAGAGCATGTAGGTACACACCCAGGTTCATATTGCCCCTGACAGAAAGTCCATAACATCTCGGGTGGATTTGCCGCCTTTTATTTAAATAATAATAAAACAATTAACTCTCTTCAAACACTACTGGGCATGATAGCTCCTCGATGTCTCGGAATAGCTTCTTTTAGTATTGCCCTGAAGATCCATTGATCCCCCGATTTTTTATCGAGAGGATTTACCCAGTTTCGGAATGCCCCGGGGGTCGGCTTCTTACCTGAGGGATCCAAGAAAGTGAGCAATGGCGGGGGGGAAGGGAAGAGACTGCACTAGCCTCGTCGCCGTCTCACCTATTGCTACGTTTTTTGAAAACCGAGAATGAATAAAGAATAATAAAAGTTTTTAGAGAATAGGTATATTTAAATTTATTGAACAGTATATATGTACACGACGCTTTAAAGAGCCACGCTTATGTGTAAAGGGTCGGACCCGCTGCGTAAGGTAGAAGCAGAATGATCTGTTCGTGTTCCTACTGGGCCTTTTATACCCACATCTACGGCGGTGGCTTGGCTTTAAGCGGCTTGACCGCCGGTGGAAGTATAGTTTCGCTTATTATTGCTATGTCATAGATGGCGCTGATGGGCATTTATCGGCGCGAGAATTTAAATGAACAATAGCTTTAGTTTGGTGATGTATTTGAGTATTTAATTAATTGAAATATACTTAAAACCTCACAAGTCAAAAAAGAGTTAAGATTACTCGTCCTTTTTAGGGCCATGGGACGTCGAACTACCTTGCCAACAAATACATTGCAACTTCACAATGTTGACAAAAAACAGCCATTTGGGCTCACAAAAGTTTCATCCATGCCTATAGTCACAAGAGGACGAATTAGAAAAAAAACCTTAAATGCTTTAAATGCATACAATTTTAGGCATCAACAAACTCACGCAAAATATTTATCGAGGTTGAAACAGCAGCATCAAAACCAACAAATAAAGAATCTGTATCGTAAGATATCAGCTTTCCATTATAACACTGACAGTAATCACTTAAATCTTCTAGATTTGTAAATAAATAGACAAATACGTATTGTTTCTTATTGTGGCGATTACAAATAGCGAGATTGCACACCAGGACTCAGTTGGTCTGGTAACAAAGTTGTAAGATTAGGGAGAACAATTTTTTAACTGTATTTTTTGTCAATTTTCAATTCCTCACAGTTTTTAAAAATATTAGTGCTTTTTAGCATCACTTCTTACAGCTTATTATTTAACCAAATAAACTGCATGGATTTCAAATAAAAATTTTTTCAATAAACAGTTTAGTTGTTCCAAGAAATATCAAGAATAGATGAAAAAATTCTAACTAAAAATATTTTAGAATTCAATACGTCGAATAGGTATACAAGCGAACGTCGATACACTTTAATCATTGTACCAATAGGCGCATATGTATAGATGGCGGTACTCTTTATACAAGCACTCTCTATTACCATCCATACATGCCCTTTCTCAATATATAAGATATAGAAAATACTTGATAATACAAATCCACATAATTTCTTTTTCAAGAAATTTTCCTTTGGAGAAATAATTAAGAACGAGAAAAAATCCTCCCCGGGTGCAGATCGAACACACAACCTCCTGTTTACCAGACAGTTGCTCTACCACTTGAGCTACCGAGGAGCTGTGCATTCACTCGCACCGTAAGTTTAGATAAGTTCTCGTTCTCAATTCTTAAGCTGTCTTTCACCTAAGCTCG